AGAAGCCCCCACAGAGGACACCACTGCTGCCCAAGCAAGGGAACAGAGAGACACTCATGAGCACGCTCTGCCGCTAAAGGGCACACATAAGGACATGCAAGCCCGACCCAAACACCGAGTTGACAAACTCGGCACCCCGAGACAACAAACCAACTCAAACCACATTAAGCGCATTAAAGGAGGCATGACAAACCAATCTGGGCCATAGGAAACCCAACCATCTCCCGAGTTGAGTCATGGACTGAAACCACCTGATACTGACCTATAGTACCCAAAATATAGATACCTAGTCCTCTCCAGTTGAAGCAGCAGGCCAACAATGGCTCGCTTTGTTACCGGCACCTATGCTGCAACCCTTTCTTCCCCACATCCCATCCCTTCCCACAAGATGACACTAAATGTCGCTTTTCAAGAGTTGTGCACAATGCACAAGATTGTCAATGTTGTAATTAACTGAATAAAAATGATAAATTATAAAAAAAAAATATTTGTGTTTCAAAACAGTAAAAAGTATTACAGCAATAGTATCGTCAGTGTAAATGCAGTTTGTGTGTGAAAAATGCAAAAAAGTCACTTTCACTGACGATATCATTGTTGTAATACATTTTATGGTATTTGTGTTCAGCGATGTCTCCCGAGTAAAACAGTACCCCCCATGTACAGGTTTTATGGTGTCTTAGAAAGTTATAGGGTTAAATATAGTGCTAGCAAATTAAATTTCTTATACTTTCGGCATGGGTTGTCAGGCAGGTCCTGCAAATTGTAATTAATAAAAGGACCTAATTATGTAAAATTATTACATAAATATATATGTAAAATTATTAAATATATATATATACACGTGTGTGTATATATATATACATATATATACACACACACACATATATATATATATATATATATATACACACACACATATAGGGATATATACGTATATACTTATAGATATATATATATATTATTTCGTTCTACGTGTATTTTGATATCAATATATATATATTAATATCAAAATACAGTTAGAACGAAATTACACATATTTTCCTTCTGCGTGTATTTTGATATTAATATATATATAATTATATATATTAATATTAAAATACACTTAGACAGTGTATGTGTAAATGTGTATATATAATATATGTGTATATATAATATATAAATGATCTA